TTAAGAGTAGCCATGGTCATGGTTTCTCTTTACAGCAATAAACCCCTAACTAAGACAGTATGTTAAGGGCCAGTGGTCACATCTCTAAGATGCAGAAATCAGGGCCCGACAATCCCTTTGGTAGCTATATTCTAATGACCTAAAACTGATCACCAGTCCCACCTCTTAAAGATCTTTGGCCTGCATTTCTTTATCAGTGCAGAAACTAAGCTTCTATATTCAGACTTCTGAAAAGATTCACACCACAGCCGCAAACAACCTTTAACTTGTTCTGCACTGGCCCTGTATGAGAACAGTCAGCCCTCCCTATACACACTGAAGAGCAGCTCAAGGATGCTACTCAGGACTCCTGCCTCATACCATCCTGGTGGTTCAGGCCCCCAGGGCCCTCTCTCAGTCACATACCTCCCACTAGGCTTCCTGACTATAACATGGAAGACTTGGAGTAGGTAACAGCTAGAAACTCTCTGGACAACCCTTAAGAGGCTGTCCTGATCTTGATTCACAGCCAATGTCACTGTGAGGACCATATTACGAAATGTACATACACAAAAACAAACAAACAAGCAAACAAAAAACAACCGCCCCCCCAAAAAAAAAACCAAGCTAGGGGCTGGGCAGCAGGCTGCTCCCTTGAAACACCACAGCAAGCAAAGGCAGCCAGAGTCCTCTTATGCTTCTAAGAGAGTGGTCTGCCTGCCCATTATCCACTGCCTCTCATAGTATTCTCATCCTGGTTTTACCACACATGGAGTCCAATTACACACATATACAACCTGAGCACCACAAGAGGGATTTTCTAAGGGCTGTGTGTTTGTCCTCTACCAAGGATGATCCCCAGAGCTATTACAGTCACTATAGACTGAGACATAGCTGCAGGAGCAAAACAAGACAGGAGTGAGCCCTCCTCACCAGCTCAGGGAGCCTGTCCAGCAAAGCTCTGAGTAGAAAGAAAACAAGCCAGAGCTCAAAAGAGCACTCTCAAATGTCATATCCCTCCCCTCAAAAAAAATTCACAAGAGTAATTACAAAGAATGCTGGGCCACCAGAGCTTGAGAATAATCGGGGTCTAGGATGTCACCTGCAAAGGAAATAACACCTTAGCTACCAGTTCCTAGTAACAGCAGGAGTACTGACGCCCCTCCTTGGCTTTTGTAGGGCCTGGACACCCTAGTAGTACTGCTCATGGCTTTGACACAACAGTGGCAGAAATATGCCCAGAAAAGGGTAGACATAAGTCCTAAAATCAAAATGTCCTCCTAGGCTCTTCTACAAGAAGTACACTTAATGCAGCCCAAGCCAACATGAGCCCAGTCTGCTGAAGCCCCCACAAGACCATCAATCTATACACAAGACAGGCATCCACAGTGAACGATGGCTGGGCATCTGTATCTAATGGTATTTACACACTCACAGACTCAAATAACGCTTAAAAAGTACATGTCTCAAAACTGTAAGGGCTTCTTTACCTGACATATTAAGGAAGCTCAAAGTTAGCATAATCCAAGAGTCCCAAAGATCCCGTGTGCTGGGCTCCTTCAGGGACTCTCAAAACCGAAATGCTGCAGCCCTTGGCACTGTGCCTGGCTTCAGAATGGGCATCACAACCTAATGACCTCCATGCAGAGGCACAGGTCATCTTAAAACAGATGGGATCCAAGAACAGTGTACTGACCACAGTGAAAGGGGTAGGGAATCCTGCCACTGATGTAACATACCATAACAAGATAGGTTGAGGACACATATAAAGTGTAATATCCTAGATACAAGCAGGATGTACCATATAAGAGAAAAAAAATTAAAAACAGGAAAAGGTAAAATAAAAGAGTCCACTTACACAAAATCTGAGATTTGAAATGATCTAAAATATAATCAAGCTCTGACTTGAAGGAAATTCCACACTAACCTCATGATGAGGCACAATCAAAATTCATATGCAAAAAAAACACTGTACAAATTTGCCTTCAGGTTCAGTGTATGAAGTATAGGTGAAACATAAATGACTTTTCTATTTAGACTTGTGATTATGTCATATCTCATCCCCGAGATATCACATAATATTTACACAAATACCCCCAAATGTTAAAAAAAAAATCCAAAATCCTAACCACCACCTCGAAACATTTCTGGTAAGGGATACTAACTCATATAAGGCTCTTGATAGACTCAGGCTGAAACACAAATAAGAGAACGGAGCTAAGCAGTAAGTCAGGTCTAAATGGCAACAATTTCTGCTGAGAATGTGACAGAGCTCTTGTGTACTTGCATAGTGATGGCTGTATGTGTGAGTACCCACTGCCACCTTACATGCTTTGTGTTGTGCTCAGAGTAGTGAGCACTTTGTTATGCGTATTTTACCACAATACAAAACAACAAAGCATTTGACCATCTGTTTGCCTTACTTATATGTAGGCAACGGAAGAGAACAGGCCTGTTAAAGGGGCCAGAACCTCCTGCCAGATGCCAAGCAATCCTACAGTCTTGTTCCTGTAAGATGCAGACACAAGCAAAAAGCAAAGGACGGCAACAGTGGGGTTTCCAAGTTCCTTAGTGTTCTCTCCTGAAAAATAGTAGGCTGAGCCTCTACAGGCTTCACTTTATCTGTGGGCTACTGTGCCCCTCACCTCAACAAACACTCTGGAAGCTTCTCTTCTTTTTTAGGGAAATCTGCCTCACCTCCACACCTACCACTCACACACTAAAATATGGAGACAGAAAGCTATCCCCAAAGGAAAAGAGATTCTCAAAAGTAAATGCCATTTTAGCTATGCCTGGAAAGGTAATGGAAAGATCAGGGAGCCAGACTGGCTTGCCACTTAGCCAGCCAGAATCCCAAGGCACCCAGAGCTAGTACCACTACCCACCTCCTGAGGGCACACTGTAACCATCAGACAGTCACCTGTTTCTTCACAGTCCAGTCATTCATTCACCATTCTTCAAGTTTTCTGGAAATCATCATTTCCCCTTTTTTGCAGAGGCTAGTCAAAGTCACCACATTCGTAACTATTCTGGGACCACACTAGCCCATCTTTCTCTCCAGTTCACCACAATGGTGAGCCCCAACTCCACACATCATGCTATGCCTGGTCCATTGAACCCCATCCAGACAACATGGGAAGAAACCAAGAATTATCAAGACCTCCAACCACAGAGGAAAACTATAGTCTGGCTAGTAAGAAAGTATTTAAAAGAGGGGAAAGGTAGTATAATATATAATAGGGAAATAATAATTTGAAACAGACCGTGACTAAGTGTTAAGGGAGGAACTACAACTTAATGTTACAGCCAGTCAGATGGGAAGGGCAGGCTACTAGTCAGGGCTGGAGTTTATCCAGACATAAGAGGAGGACTGGAAGCATAGACTGTTCAAAGATGTTGCGTTTAGATAAAAGCACCCAGATGGAGATGTTTCATAAGCCCTGTGAAAGCCATAGGAAATACAGATGTGCTCTGTGAGTGAATCCCACAGAAACCCCTCAATCAAGAAAAGCTGTAAGATAACCCTAGCCTGCCATCTACTATCCCACTTCAGGAAACAAGTAGGTAAGTCCCGTGTCCTGCAAATCAAACATTTTAAAGTTAACAAAATATATATAGTACGTCTCACCTTGTCCTAGGGAATGGTCACAAAGGATAAACCCTGACAGGATGCAGACCAGAGGGCTAAGCTCCCTTCACCCTCAGTCCCTGAAAGAGCACTCATGCTACTTCTTTCCTGACGTCTACTGCAGCACCATCTTCACCCTGATGGCCTCCTTTGTAGCCTTATGTGAGCTTCCTGATGCAACATGGAAATTTACAAGCCCAGAGTGACACTTTAGACACATTTCAACATGGTTGCCACTGCTGGTTTGGTCACTTCCCTCTCAGAGGTACTAGCTGTGTGCATTACCCATATGTGTACAATGCTCACGGTCTGGCAGAAACGCATCAACTGACTACATGCTTAGTCTTTCAGCTCCAAGGCCATGTGCTAGAAAATGGCCCATGCACAAAAACGTTTGGAGCCGAATGTCCCACCAAGTCTTCTCCTTTTTTCTCACAGTCATCTTTGCCTTAGCCACATCCTGTATGCTGGATATTTTGCTTCATTTTTCTCAATCTGACACAAGGTAGAGTCACCTGAGAAGAGGGAACCACAATTTTAAAAAACGCCTCCATCAGATTGGCCTGTAGTACAAACCCTAGTGTCCTGACCCTCTGGAAAGTCCCTAGGGACAGTTATCTCACACTCCAGAGTCTCATAGCATCATAGTGAAGAAACCAGCCCTGGGTACAGCAAGTGGGCCAGTCCACTGAGAACAGTATGAGCAGACTTGCCCAGGTGGCCCCAGTCTTCATAGGCACAGCAAGTCTACACCCACATACTTGTCCTACCCAAATTGCAAAGGAAGAGGAATCCATAGCTTCATTTAGGAGAGAGAAATCTCTTTGAGAGAAAGAGAGGTGATATGGGCAGAAATAGAAAGAGATATTCTGTTCTACTTGACTAAGCTGGGGTCTGGCCTCACTTGTCCCACCCATGGTGTAGGTAGAAAGTTAGGTAGTAGAAGAACAGAGAGATGCTCACCTGCTCAGACCACAGATTAGCAGACCTCAAATGCCAGCTTTAAAAAAAAAAAAAAATCCACACCAAGATCTAGTGGAACAGCCCTGGAAGACAGGACAAAAGTCTCTCTGCACTCAGGTTTGTAGAAACACCACCTACGCAAACCCTTGCTAATACCGAAGACTATATCCTCATTTTCCCTATTCTTAAACAAAAGTGATTTCCTTCTTCACTGCTTCCTCTGACCAACAACTTGGGGGGTTGTGGGGGAGATAGGGAAAAAGCCTTGATCTGGGTTTGTAGAGCACTTTCTAACTAGTACTACAAGTTCTTTAAAACATTCCAGACTCCCAAACAGAAGCCTCAGTAAGGCTGCACTCAAGCATAATGTGGCCAGCAGTGTCACAGTGGAGGAGCCTGGGGAAGACCAGGGAACAGTAAGGACACTTACCATCTCATCCAGGGCATATCGCAGGAGGCCATGCTCATAAAGAATGAAGAATCGTCGCTGCCATTTCTGCAACAGAGCACAGAGTTGGGGGTCAGGTGCCCTGGCCCTGGATCTCAGTTGGCAGAACCCCAATATCTAACCTACAGAATCTAAGGAATGCTGGCCCTAAGGCTTTAACTTCTGGGGCAGATGGTAGGAGGAGAGATACTGGAGATGGTAGGAGTAAGATTCACTGGCCAAGGGGGGGTCAGAAGATGGCCAAATACAAGTGACTGGTGTTTCCATATTCCCAATAGACTCTTTAAAGCTGGAGCTTTCCTTGGGAATAGAAACTATATGGTTACTTTTCTATATTGTTACTGGCAGCCAGTACAGAGTTTTCATAGAATGTTTGTTGATTTATTAGGTGAGTGATCTTAATGTGTTCTGGAATTAACTTGAGGTTACAGGGAGACTGACAGTATCACTTCCAAGAAAGTCTGAGAAATGGTATGTAATGGGTTGGTCTTGTGATTTCCAAGGAACAGGAAGCAGACAGCCAAAGCTTGAGGAATTGAACAGCAGTGGAATAAGCCAACAAAAATCTACCAGAGAAGAACCTCCAACATAGGCCAGGACTCCAGGGGTATTACCATAGTCAAATGCTGTTGAAAGCTGAATGAAAAGGACAAAGTATACATATCATCTTCTGTGTGAAAGGTCTTGTCTACCCCGTGAAGCTATAAACCTAAATCCTGACTCCCAGATCAGCATGGATCCCACCCTTACTCCTCTGGTTGACTTCAAAAGGATTCAAGGTTCTATTCTCAACTTCTCAAAAAGTACAACAACATTTAAGTTTTGACTAGCATTAAAGCCACAAAATTAACTATAATGTATGTTTCTTTGCTGTAGACCAGAATAATAAATTTTAAAATAATTAGTTTCTCATTAGGAACTGGAAATGGCAGTTCTGAAATTTTAGTAGAGACCAGGAAAGGCACTTGGCTCTCTGCATACTGCATTTTAACTAGAATTGGTGGCCCCCCAGGGGGTAAGAACAGAATTCATGGGGCTACTCAGGACCTATTAGAGCTGCTTCCAGGCTAAAGTTCCAAAATAGACTGCTGGCATCTGTTCTCCAAAATCATTTCCAAGGTTCCTATGTGTCTTTGAAATCAATATCCACTCCAGAAGAAGTCCAAAAACCAGAAATGCAATTGTCTGTGGGCCAGAGCATGTATTTGTAAGGTCCTGCCAAGGTGAGGAGAGATGAGCAGAGCTAGGGCAATTGTATAAATAAAACTAGAAGAAAGTGAATGGAAAAGATTCTCTGATTGGGCTGCAATCCCAACAGGTTACTCAGGGAATAAGCAACCCTCTGGTCAGCAAAATGCAGGGTTATCTTTCTTTTTGCTCCAAAAGAGACCTATACCCAGGAGACAGGATGGTATAAGGCTTAATTAGACAGCACAGGTGCCCAGGCCTTATTCTTTTATTAGGACTTGTTGGTCTTATGCCCCTGGCTCAGGAGGAAGCTGCCTTGACTCTGAAGGACTTGCAAGCTAGATTAACATGCTGCAAAGATGTACTTAATTGCTTTTTTGTCTGTTTTCGAAGAGTCCCAACTATACACAGTAAGTGACACCCATACAAGAATGGCAGTTTGAAACAAGGACTCTATATGTACACATGCGCAGAACTTTCGGAGACCTCAGAGTTCACACAACGTTGGATCCGTGCTGACTTTGTTACCCAGGTTCCAGTGTTTACCTCCTGTCTCCCTCCCTAATTTTACCACTTCACTCTCAAATGGACCTCCTTCTGGTTCTTCCCATTCCAAGAATATTCTCTGGTGTCCTTACCCGTGACCGGTGCACTGGGTTGTCAAAGTCGGTGCCTTCTGGAGCCAGGAGCAGCCAGCCACCGTAAATGGGTTTTGCCTAGAAGAAAAAAATAATGGCAGATCTTCAGTATCACTCAACCAGAGGACAAGAGAGCAGGCTGAGCTGACAAACAGGATATCATCTCCTATTCCCCAACACAGGCTACACAGGATAAGTAAGTATTTAGAACAAGTACCTAGTTTAAAAGGTCTCAGGATTCCACATCTTGTGGTGTGCTTAGGGGAACACAGAACCCTGAAGGCATTTGAAAACATACAAAGCAAAAGAACTCTTATAGACATAGGCTGTCTCTCAAAAGTTTTAACATACGCACCAAGATAG